TGAGTTTGAGGCCAGCCTGGTCTACATAGTGAGTTCCAGGCCAGCTGGGGCTACAGGGAAACCCTGTCTCAAAAAGACCAAATAATAATATAATAAAAATAATAAAAATTAAAAAATAAAAGAAAAAAAACAAATATGCAGGCAATACACATACACATAAAATATAAATAACAAAGCCAGGCATGGTGGCACACACCTTTAATCCCAGCACTCTGGAGGCAGAGGCAGGCCGATCTCTGTGAGTTCAAGTCCAGCCTGCTCTACATGGTGAATTTCAGGCCAGCTGGGGTTACAGTGAGACCCTGTTTCAAAAAAAACAAATAATGATAATAATAAAGTATATTTTTAAAAAGAAGCAGCTGAAAAATAAGGTTCAAGGTGCCAGATAGGGCAGGAAAAAAGAAAAAAGGCAGAAACACAGCAGATTTGCATTTCAAGAGAATAGATTTGCATGAGAATGGACTGAGAGGTCTACACCTGTGCATGGAAGAAACCAGGAGGTCTGGTTTAGACCAAAGTGAGAGGTATCATCAGCAAACCTGTGTCCAGAATGTCCTCCTGTAACTTCTGAGACTAAGAGCAAGGAGGGACGGGATCCCACAATTTCTTGTGTTAAAGGGCAGGGAGGATGTGGGTTTGTAGCCTTGAAACAAGAAGCTCTGATGGAATTCCTGCACTCTCCTTTATGTGTGCCCATTTCTCACCTTGGAGGACCCAACACAGGTAAACAGTGTGGTTTAGCCTGTGTAACAAGGGGCAGGCATTAAGTAGGACCATGTGTTACAGGGAGGAGTTGCACTGGGGAGGGGAGGGCATTGTACAGGGTGGCCTGATTTCTGGGAAAGAGGCAGCTCACTAGATGGTCTGTGATCTAACAACAGTAACTAATATTTCCTTTTACTTCCCCTTTCGTTGGAGGTTAATGGTTTGCCAAAGCGAAAGGAATGGCCTGGTAGGTATTTTCCATGATGAATTGCTTCCCAAAGTTAAGCCACACAACTATTTATGGTTTAGGTGAAAGGTGTGTGTAGGAAGGATGAGGATGGGGAACTCGAGACAGGGAAATGGAGACTAAGGACAGCCTGAGGTGCAGTGCACACACACTGCTAAGGAACCCCAGAGAAGGATGGCTTAGAGGACTGCTGACTTCCTCCGATCTGCTTCCCTAGGCCACTAACCGAGGGCTTAGTACCCCTAAATCCTGAAGTCAGTTTCTTGCCTGTAGTGTAGAATGGGAGCTTAGGGCCAAGAGTAATAAATAGGTAGATGTAGTTATATAAAGGAATGCACTGCGTCTTCACTACACTTCCCTCCACTATCTGTGCAGACACTGGGTCTGCAGCAGAAGGAACAGAAGGAGGAGGAGGCAATCCTCTTACCATCTTACTAGGGCTACCCCACCCTTCAGGACGCCGCGCCTGCGCACTGCACACGCTGAAGCCGCGCGCCCTCAGCGAAGTGGGCGGGGCTGCCCGGGCATCCGGGTCCCACACCCCGCCCCCGCTGCATGAATGAGAGGCGCGGCGACCGCCCCTCCCCCGCCGGCCCGCCCCTCGCCGGGGGCCGCCGCTCTCTGTCCGCCACCGCCACCTCAGCCGCTCGCTGTCCAGACGAACGCTGGTCGCCCGCAGTCCGCCGGGCGCTGACGGTCCTGCACGCCGCCCGCACGCCCGAGTAAGTGAGCGAGCGAGGACCGGGCGCCGAGGCCTCTCCCCGAGGCTGAGGCATGGGGGGCCGCGCAAGTCGGCGGCCGGGATGCTGAGGAGAACGCGGGCCCGCGCCGGCCTCGCACACAGACTCAGTCCCCTGGGCGGCCCTGCTGAGGGCTGGGGGTGAACCCCGCCCCGGCTGGAGAGCGACGCGGAGGAAGGTCCACCACCCCCGGCGCGGGGGAGTCCCGCACAAAGGGTGGCGCGAGGCTATCATCAGGACCAGGGCCACAGCCCCCGCACGCCCTGCTAGCCAGAGCCCCGGCATCGGTCCCGGGCGGGGGAGGATGGTGAGGACCGCAGCCTCTGGGTGGTGCTGGCGACGCGTCGGGGGGCGGGAGGGGGCGCGGGGTGGCAGTTTCTGGTCCCCAGCCACTCCTTCCTTTGTGGTGCTTGTCTCGTGCCCGGTTGTCACACCGTGCGTGGCAGTGGTCTGCGTCGAGACCTAGCCCCTTGGCTTATTATGAAAGTCATCTGGTGGCCCCAGTCTGTGGGTGGGGGACGTGTGTGTACACACGGGCTGGAGAAGTAATGACCCTCCTTTGTTCCCGGGCACCTAAAGGGTGTGTGTCCTGTGAAATGAGGCAAAAGAGGGAGTGGAAAGACAACTTCACACCTCTACCCCATCCCGTTCCTGCTGTTATTTCAGATAGCAGTTGAGATTTTGTTTTCTGTTTTGGTTTTCGTTGTTCTCACTGTAAAATCAGTGGATTTTGTTTATTGGAAGTTTGCCTGTATTCCCGAGTATATTTAGAACACCTTGCTTTTAGAGGTCAATGTTGATTTACATTGGGGAGACTCTAACATCTAGAACATAGCTTTCTGGGCTTAGTTCATTGGTGATAGGTCTTGTATTTGTGTGCCTATATGTAGGAATATTCCCAGTATATCAAGGGCACTGTTTTCTCCACTCTGAGGCTAGGCAGATTGTGTTTCTTCTTGCCTCCCTGCTTTAATAAGAAGGTGGTCCAGCAGGTTCTCTCCACCTCTTTGCTGCTCTCCCCTCTCTTAATGCTTTGGCAAAGGATTTTATTGGATATTACCCTGGCATGAATTCTGGCTTTGATCTGGATTCTCGTGTGTTCTGTTGTCTAATTGTGCAGTCCAGCTCAATGGCTCCTCTTACTGGGCTACCAGAAAACAGAACACCTTTTTGCATTGTGTTCATCCCTCCAAGAGGTTAGGAAGCTTTACTGGATGGATCCTATAGACTTTTGGTAGGAATGCCTGCCTGACTTTGTCATCTAGGGAAAATTATGAGGCAATGTGGCTCCTGTAGCCAGTTTAAAAGCCCATTATGAAAGCACCAGCTGTTCTTGCTGTTTTTTCATGCCAGATTATTTAAATTTTAGAGGATAGTTGTTACTTTGGTTGGATGATGATTTTGTTTCCTTTTTACCTTTCTACTTTTGCAGAGTGAAAAAAGCACATTTCCAAAATATTTTTGTTATGATCTTTTGATTTAAAATAGTGGTGCTAAAAAAAAAACTAAGCCGTTTATATATGAATAATTGAGTGGGTTCAGTTTAAGATTTTCTATTTCTTTTTAAATCACATATATTTTCATTCCTAGTAACTTTTCAGAACAAAATGAAATGTAAGCCTCCTCAGCATCTGTTTGTGTATATTCTTTCTGTTTAAAACATTTGCTTTTAATTTGAAGGAAAATTTCCACTGGTTAGATGGTGATCCATTATTCTTAATAAAATTCTTACCTTATGCTGCTTTCTTAAAACTGTAGGTCACAACCCCGTATGAGGTTGCATAACTGAGTGTGGGAGCCACAAAAAAAATTAGACAACAGTCAAAAGTTTGAGTGTTTAGCGATTTAAAAAAGTAAATCAAGGGGCTGGAGATGTAGCTCTGCTGGTTGAGTACTTGTCTAGCATGCAAGTTTGATCCCCAGGACTGAATAAACTGAGCATCGTGGTCCATGCTGGTAATCCCCTGTGCCCTTGAGCTGTTGGAGGCTAGAGGATCACCTTGGGTACACTGAGTTTGAGGCCAGCCTGGGAATACAGAAAACCTTTCTAGAGTAATAATTCAAATCAAGCATCTAATAGATCTGAGAGGTCACTGCTACTGCTCACCGGTGTTGCAGCTCAAGACTTCACTGCAGCCTTGGTTCCTGAATATGTAACATGCATTCTTCCACTGCACATGCCATCACACCACAGTATATCAGTAATCATGGCCACAAACACCTCCAGTCAGATGCTGGGCTGTCGTATGTTAGATTTATCAATGCTTTTACTAACCATAAAAAGTTTTATGCTCTTATTAGAAACTGGTTTGATTAAAAAAATATATTATCCTATTGTCATTTTTCAGCAAGCAATAATAAAATTATTCTCTCTGGGGCCAGAGAGATGGCTCAGTGATTAAGAGCATTTGTTGCTCTTTCCAGAGGACCTGAGTTTGGTTCCCAAAACCCACATTGGGAACCTGGCCGGCCTGAATTGAGTTTTATATTGAAAAAAAAAAAAAAAGAAGAAAAGAAAGAAAGAAAGAAATTAATTTGGGCTTGGGATTACAAGAGAGTTTCCAACAACTTCTGAAATAGCCCTGTATTATTTTTCTCACTGTACTGCTATGACAAAAGTACTTGACAGTAGCTGGGCGTGGTGGTGCATGCCTTTAGTCCCAGCACAGAGGCAGAGGCAGGTGGATCTCTGTGAGTTCAAGGCCACCCTGCTCTACATAGTGAGTTCCTGGCCAGCTGGGGCTACAAGGAGACCCTGTCTCAAAAAGACCAGTGACTACTAAGGAAGGAAAAGTCTATTTTGGCTCACAGTTTGAGGATACAGCCTATCAGGGCAGGAAAGTCATGGTGGCATGAATGTGAGGCAGCTGGTCACACTGTGTCTGCAGTTGAGAAGCAGAGATAAATGTTGACGCTCAGTTCCCTTTTCCCTCTGTATTCAGTTTGAGCTCTAACTTATGGGGATGGTGCCATCCACATTCAGAGTAGGTCTTTTCTCTTTATTTAAATCTTTGGGGATAGGGGACATTCTGCTAGACATAACAGAGAGATGTTTTCATGGTGATTATAACTCCTATCAAGTGGAAAGTCAGCATGAAACATCACAGACCCTAAACATACTTCTCTCCTTTTTGTGCTATGAATTTATGTAAAGCAACATTTCAGCACCGACGTTATAAAATCAAAATATTAATCACACCTGAGAATGAAGGTGTTCCATGTCCTCCAATATCAAATATTCAGCCAAGATTTAATTCTTTATATAAAAGTAAATAAGCACATCCATCTCAGTATGCAAATGTGACGTTTGTCTTTGTGATGTGATGTAGTAAATGATGAAATTATATGTATGCCAAGGAATT